GCCGGCCCCCGGGAGGCCGGCAGCGGCGAGGAGCCGGCGCGGCGGCACCGGGCCCGGCACAAGGCGCTGCCCACGCACGAGGACGCGGAGAAGGAGGGCGAGGTCGAGGACAGGGACAAGGAGAAGGAGCTCCGGAACCATCAGCCCAAGTGAGGGAGTGCGCGTGGCGGAGGCGGGGCCCTGGCGAGGGGCGAGGGGCTGGGGGTGCCGGTGGCGCAGGGTTCAGGGGTGCGGGGCTGTCCCTGTTCAGGTTGGCCGTCCCGCCTTCCGTCTCAGCCTCTCTCTCTGCGGTGGGGACAACCCTGCCCTGTTGGGGCGACGTGTAAAATCCTTAAAACCGCGTGGGGATCAGGTTTGCTTCGTGCGTGTCCGTCGTTATTCTAAGGCTCGCAGGAGAGAGAGGGTGTAGGACGAAATCGTTGGGACTGGTTTGGGACACGTTGGCTTGGGAAGATTGGAGAGAGACTGAGGGAGGCCCGAGGAGGCCACTGGGGGCTAAATGGTAGGAAGGAATAGGGCCAGGCTGGGTGGCCATGACAGAAAGGGCCTCCCAGCTCTCCACACCAGCTGGCTCGCCTGCTCCCTGGCAGGGACAGGCCATGAGTCTGAGTCTGTGAGAAAGCTGGGGTGACAGGAGGCCCCAGGCTGAGGCCAGCACTCTTGGGCGCCTGCCCGGCAGCTGGAAGCCCCTGCTCAGGTCTAGAGTCTGTCTTTGTGTGCGGAGTTCTGGAGGGGCCGCAGGTGGAGTAGCTTAGAGAAACACCCTCTTCTGGGCTTCTTCATTCTGCACGTAGTTCCCTTTTATATACATAGTGTGATGCCAGCCATGCCTGGTCGTGTGCCAGGGACAGACAGGTTGAGTCGGCCCCATTTTTACTTTTCAGACCTGAAAACACAGAAATGTACGAAGTGATGAAAACCATATGAAATGTCGGAGTAGCAGAGGAGGCGGTCAGGGATCTATCTGATTTGCATCGGGGCATAAGGAGCTGGATTTTGCAGACTGACTAGGAGTTTAGGGCTGCATCAGAGTCTGATGTGCATTCTTGGTTGCAGGGAGCCACGCTGTGACCTGGAGGCCAGTGAGATGATGGGCGTGGGCCCTGTACATGCACTGCCCAGCACCTGCCTACAGAAGGTGGAGGAACAGTCAGAAGATGCAGACAATCAGCGGAATGTCACACGGATGGGCAGTCAACCCTCGGACCTGAGTGCCACTGTGCATATCCCGGTGACGCTGACCGGCCCTCCTGGGGAGACCACGGTTGTTCCCAGTGAGTATCTCCCCGTATCAGCGGGGCAGGGCCCACCTTATGCAGGCGCAGTTTGCTCTCCCCTGTCCCCCTCTCTCCATGGCAGCCGCTTGGGGACAGAGCATGCCTGTGTGAGCCTGTCTACACCAGCTCGAGACAAAGTCCTTTGTGGTCAGCATCTGTGCCTTGATGTCTCTTTGTTTCCAGTGCCCCAGAGGAGCACTGTTGCTATCACATGCCACTTAAACTCTATTCTCCTCCTTTCCAAAAATATTTGCAAGTTACCAGCTCAGCGCCAGGCATGGTGTTAGAGTGCTGGGGATAGCGGGGGGGGGGGGCCCCCGCGGAACTGTGGGGCTTACGGTCTCATCAGGAGAGCAGACCTCAGGATGGTCACAGCTCTTCATAGTTGTGTGAAAGCTGCTAAGGACCATGTCCCCAGACTTGATGGGGGCTGAGAACTCGTGGGTGAGAAGGAGGAAGTTGTCGGGGTGCTGGTATTCCTACCGACTTACTTTGCCCTATGATCCCTGCACTAAGAGCCCCATAGGCCTTTGCCTCAGCCCCTTTTTTCTTCCCCCCACTCACTCGCTCACTTACTCACACGTGAGTGTGAGCCTGATTGGGCAGCCACTCCATGCCTGACTGCCTGACCATGAGAGCAGGGACTGAGGGTGCAGGGTGGACAAGATACTGCTCCTGTTTTCAGGCCACTCCACCTTGTAGGGACAAGACGGACAAATACCGTCCCCTCATACTGTGTGGAAGGTGCATAGACCTCTCGTGAGCGCCGAGGACAGAGAAGGCGTTCCACGGGGAGGGGAAGATACCACAGAAGCAGAGCTGACGTGCAAGGCCAAATGAAGAGTTAGGTCTCGAGTAGACCAGTTGCCACCACCTGGTGTTGCCTGTGTTTGCAGATGTGTCCACAAACACAGACACGTGTGTGTGCCTGTTACCTCTTGTCAGGTGCTCTCACCTGGGGCCTGTGAACCAGTGCACAGTGCTAGGTGTGGCCATGGGAGATGGCCAGCTCCAGCTGCTTAAGCTCGCCTCCTTTTTGCCTCCTTGGGAGAATGCTTTCCCTGGCCTATCCCTGGTCTCCCTTCCCATGGGTGATAGTGGGTCTGTCTTACCAGACTCCTGGAAAGCAACCCCCCTGGTCTGAGTCTCTCTGGATAAACTTGAGGATCGGCCCAGGCTTCCCACCTGACTTTTGTCAAGCCCCTCTTCCCCACCTCCTGGCAACCCCTGATCTTTTTTTACTGTCTCTGTAGTTTTGCCTTTTCCAGAATGTCATCGCGTTGGAATCATACAGTGTATAGCCTTTTCAGATTGGCTTCTTTCACTTACCAATATGCATTTCAGGTTCCTGCCATGTCTTTTCATGGCTCAATAGCGCATTTCTTTTTAGCACTGAATAGTATTCCGTTGTCTGGGTATACTGCAGTTTATTTATCCACGCACCTATTGAAGGACATCTTGGTTGCTTCCAAATTTTGGCCATTATGAATAAAGCTGCTATAAACGTGCGCAAGATTTTGTGTGAACTGGTTTTCAACTTCTTTGGGTAAATACCAAGGGGAGTAATGGCTGTATCATATGGTAAGACTATGTTTCATTTTGTAAGAAACCGCTGAACTGCTTATACCATTTTGCATTTCCACTAGTAACGTACGAGGGTCCTATTGTTCCGCATCCTTGGCAGCAGTTGGTATTGTCAGTGTTCCAGATTTTGGCCAGTCTAGTAAGTATGTCGTAGCATCAAATTGTTTAAGTTTGCGTTTTCCTAATGATGTGTGATGTGGAACATTGTTTTCATATACTTATTTGCTATCTGCCTTTTCCTCTTCAGTGAGCTGTCTCTTAAGATCTTTGGCCCATTTTTAAATCTGGTTGTTTTCTTATTTTCAAATTTTAGGTGTTCTTTGCATATCCCGGATAACACTCTTTTATCAGATGTGTTTTTTTACAAATATTTTTTCCCGTCCGTGGCTCATCTTGTTCTCTTGACGTTATCTTTCACAGAGCAGAATTTATTAATTCTAGCTGATACGTTATTTTTCTCATGGATCATATATTTGGCGTTGCATCTAAAAAGGATCATCAGAAACAGAGTCGTCTAGGTTTTCTCCTGTGTTATCCCCTACGAGTTTTATGCATTTCACATTTAGGCCCATGAGCCGTTTTGACTTAACTTGTGTGAAAGGTATTATGCCTATCTATATTCATTTTTGCATGTGGACATCCAGCACCATTTGTTCGAAGAGGTGATCTTTGCCCTTCGATCTTTGCTTCTTTGTCAAAGATCAGTTGATTCTATTTCTGGGGTCTATTTCTGAGCTCTGTATTCTGTTCTTTTGCCCTGTTTGTCTTTTTTTTTTTTTTTTTTTTTTTTTTTTTTTTTTTACCAATACAGCACTGTCTTGATCACTGTAATATTATGGTGAGTCTTGAAGTTGGGTAGTGTCAGACCTCTAACTTTGTTCTTCTCCTTCTGTATTGAAGTGTTGGCTATTGTGGGTCTCTTGCTTCTCCATGTAAACTTTGGAATCAGTTTGTTGATATCCATAAGATAACTTGATGAGATTTTGCTTGGGATTGCATTGAATCTATAGGTCAGGTTGTTAAGAACTGACACCTTGACAATATTGAATCTTCCTATCCATGAACATGGAACATTTCTATCCTTATGTAGTTCTTTGGTTTTATTCATCAGAGTTTCAGTTTTTTACGTATAGATATTGTAGATACTTTTTGTTAGATTTATACTTAAGAATTTCATTTTGGGGGGAGCTAATATGAATTAATTATTCTCAAGTTAGGTAACAGGCAGTGTAGTCTTGGCTTCTGGAGTAGAACCCGGTGATTCGTCACTTATAAATGACACCCAGTGATCATCCTGATGAGTGTCCTCCTTAAATGCCCATCACCCATTTACTCCACCTGCCAACCTCCCAACCCCCATCAGCCCTCAGTTTGTCCTCTGCATTTAAGAGTGTCTTACGATTTGTCTCCTTCTCTGTTTCTTATTTTTGCTCCCCTTTCCCTATGTGCATCTAAGTTTCTCAGATTCCACATATGAGTGAAATGTGATATCTGTCTTTCTCTGACTGACTTATTTTGCTTAGCATAAGACTCTCCAGTTCCATCCATGTTGTTGCAAATGGCAAGATTTCATTCTTTTTCATCACTGAGTAGTATTCCATTGTATATGTATACCACATCTTTTTAATCCATCAGTTGGTGGACATTTGGGCACTTTTCATAATTTGGCTATTGTTGATAATGCTGCTAGAAATATTGGGGTGCATGTGCCCCTTCAAATCAGCATTTTGTATCCTTTGGAAATACCCCTACTAGTGCAATTGCTGGGTCGTAGGGTAGTTCTGTTAATGATATTGTGCTTTAAATTTCAAATCCTGCTCATTCATTGTTGGTAAATAGGAAAGCAATTGACCTTTGTGTATTAACCTTGTATCCTGCAACTTTAAATCACTTTAAGTTCCAGAAGTTTGTTGTTGTTGTTGTTGATTCTTTTGGTTTTCCATATATATTATCATGTCATCTGTGAACAAAGACAGTTTAATGTCTTCCTTCCCAATCTATATACGTTTTGTTTCCTTGCCTTGCCTTACTGCATTAGTAGGACTTCCAGCACAATGTTGAAAAGGAGTGGTGAGAGGTGACATCATTGCCTTGTACCTCATCTCAGTGGGAAAACTTCAAGTCTCTCATCATTCAGTATGAGGTGAGCTGTAGGTTTTTTGTGGAGAGTATTTATCAAGTTGAGGAAATTCCCCTCTATTCCATAGTTCACTGGGAGATTTTATAATGAGTAGGTGTTGGATTTTGTCAGATGCTTTTACTGCACCTATTGATATGATCAAGTGACTTTTCCTTTTTAATCTGTTGATGGGATGAATCACATTCAATGATTTTCAAGTGTTGGACCAGCCTTGAATACCTGACACAGCTCTCCCATTTGGTTATGGTATATGATTATTTTTATACTTTTGGGGGGATTTGATTTGCTAATATTTTGTTGAGGATTTTTGCACCTATGTTCATGAGAGATACTGGTCTAACCAGTTTTCTCGTAATGCCTTGTCTGGTTTTGTTACTAGGGGAATGCTGACCTCATAAAATGAGTTAGGAAGTTACTCCCTTTGCTTCTATCCTTTGAAAGAGATTGTTGATGATTGGTATAATTTCTTCCTTAATTGTTTGGTAGAATTCATCAGTGAACCCATCTGGGCCTGGTGCTTTCTGTGTTTTGGAAGGTAGTTAATTTATGAATCAATCTCTTTAATAGAAGCCTATTTATTTTTATTTTCATTTATTTATTAAAAAAAATTTTTTTTTTGAGAGAGAGACAGAGAGACAGAGAGACAGAGTGCAAGACGGGGAGGGCCAGAGAGAGAGGGAGACACAGAAGCTGAAGCAGGCTCCAGGCTCTGAGCTGTCAGCACAGAGCCCAATGTGGGGCTCGAACTCAGGACCATGAACTGAGCTGAAGTCAGACACTTACCCGACTGAGCCACCCAGGAGTCCCAGAAGCCTGTTTAGATTGTGTATTTCTTCTTGTGTGAGTTTCAGGGAGATTTGTCCTTCCAAGGAATTGGTCCATTACATGCAGGTTATCAAATTTGTGGGCATAAGAGTTGTTCATAGTATTCTTTTATCATCCTTTTCATGTCCATGAGCAGTCGTGATGTCCCTTCTTTCATTTCTTATATTAGTAATTTGTGTTTTCCCTCTTTTTTCCTCGTTAGTCTAAATAGAGGCTTATCGATTTTAATGATCTTTTCAAAGAAACAGTTGCATTGGTTTTGTTGATATTCTTTATTAATTTTCTCTTTTTAGTTTCATTGATTTCTGCTCTAATTCTTATTATTTCTTTTCTTCTGCTTACTTTTAGCATGCTTTTTCTTTTTGTTTCCTATGGTGGAAGCTTAGATTATTGATTTTTAAATCTTCCTTTTCTTTTTTTTTTTTTTTTTTTTTTTTTTTTTTTAATT